TTCGCTTCATCTCTCATTTCCTCTTTCTCTTTATCACCTCCTCTCTCTGAATTTCTTTCTCTGTCTAACTGATACTCCCCGCTTGGATCTACACTTATATCAGTCTTTCCCTCCCTCACCTTAATATTAATGGATAAACAAATCCGAATATTTTCGTTCTTATTGAAATATTCACCTAGGTTTTCATTGTGAATTTTTGCTTAAATATTAATAATGCAGGTTTTTTTACGTCGAACAAATCTTTATGATTTTAGTTTATAGTTTATCGACCTTTCGACAGTTTACTTAATAATCCGACCTATAACCCAATTATCTTATTTTCTTGTGTTTTTGTTATTAAACAATAAACAAGCCATACAACGATACGATGATAACCAATGGCGATATCTCATATTAGTAGGATATTGTTTTTGTTTTTATTTCCCTCCCCCTTCAATCTGGTGTATAAATTAAAAATATTCTATGACTCCCTATCTGGAAAATATTTTTAGAAATAATCTTATACAATATTCCTCTCCTCTATATAAAGACATCTTTTCTTTTCTTTTTTTTAAGTCATATTTTGTTTATGAAGATTGATTTATTTAAAACAAGTTTCTTATCGGGAGGACAGGCCAGTACAAATTAACGTTCCGAGATATTGAAGATATTTTTTAGGGACAGTTAATTTTGGTACGTGAGAGGAAAAAATATACCGTTCATATCAGTTGCAATGAAAATAAAGAAACGATACTGTTACAAAGCTTAATAAAAAAGAAAAGAAAATCCTTTACTGTTTTCATACAGACACGGCCAACAGAACAAGTGGGGATTCTAGTAGCTAGCAGCTGTAAGTTATTAAACTGCACATGTCGATCTTTGTCCTCTAGCTTAAAATCCGTAAAACTATCAATACTAACAAAATCCCATCCCACTTTATTGATATACCTGTGTTTGTTATGTTGTAATGTAATAATGGTGAAACTTTTTTCTTTTGTGTGTGTGTGTGTTTCGAACAGATTCCCTCCCGCTATGACATACACTTACTCGTCGTGTCATCACGTCTTAATATCCGCTTTGCCTAACTAATAATGTATCCATGTAATCTACGCACCTTTCTCTCGCATTTCCCTTTCATTTTCTCTCACTCACTCTTACTATTACTCCCCATCTCTTCATCACTACCTATATCTCTATCTATCTAACAAGTGTTTATCTAATTCGTATTCTATGCACTCACCCTTTTCTCAATGTTTGTAGGACTATCAGTTTCTGTCTCTCTGTTTTTTTCTCTCTCTCTCTCTCTCTCTCTCTCTCTCTCTCTACCTAGAAAAACTCTTTCTTCCTCGCTATCTCTACCTATCTTTTTATCTATCTATGTGTCTATCACTGACAGTAATTCATACCGCGAGCGTGTTTTTATCCATTTACCTATATTTCTCTCTTTCCCTCCTTTCTATAGATAATATGTCTATAATTTATACTATGATCTCTATCTCTTCTCACTGTTTCTATAATTTACATAGTTTATGTCTCTCTCTCTCTCTCTCTCTCTCTCTCTCTCTCTCTCTCTCTCTCTCATTTTCACTCTCACGCTAGTTCTCTCTACCTCTACTTATCTCTCTATTTAAGTGTCTATAAAATAAATTTATATTCTATGCACCCTCCCTCTTCTTTCACAGTTGCTATGATTTTCTCAGTTTTCATCTCTTCTTCTTCTTCTTCTCTCTCTTTCTCTCTTTCTTTCTTACCAAAAATCTTTATCTAATTTTGTTTATATAACTTGTATTATTCTTACTTATTTAACTTTAACCGTACTTAGCCAAAATCTATTTANAAGAGAGGTCGACCTAAATTTGCGGGTTTTTTAAATTTATATATCGAAATACCAGTGATTATGCGAAATAACATTATATTTATTTATTTTTATTTAACTGGGTGTATCTTCTTTTTTAATTGTATTACATACATCATATACAAAATTATAAGTTCCTTGTGTTATTGTTCATTTAATAGTTATTTTTTATACTTTCACTTACTTTCATTGGTATTAACAACTACATGTTCTGCGTGTTTGCGTGTGTTATCTATGCTAGAAATGCTTAGATATCCTTCAGAGACAATAAGAAAAAATGCATTAGTTTTGTTATACTGTCAAACAAGCGTACACCCATGTGTTCGTAAGGACATCGCAAGAGACCTGTTCATCATTAAGTAATGTCATTTTCCCACCCCTTTCTGCACGTTGCAAAGGAAATTTTGGATTAATTTTGATCGGTTTTTGTCAGATCAGGAAGAAAAAAAATAGGGTGCAAAATAAGAGATGGAAAATAATTATTTTTAGTAACGTGGTTAAATTTAAATGCGTTCACATCATATCTAGTTTATGCTTTGCCTTTTTAAAATATTACTAGTCATTAAAATTGAACCTAATAATACTTATGAGGTTGCAAATTTGTTAGAGTAGCACAAAAAATGAAAAATATTCAAAGTGGGTAATGTAAAAAACCATGTTCAAATGTAAAACATTAGGAAAAGCTGAACGTAAAAATTATTTACTTTTTGTTAACAGTCCATAGGTTAAGTTGCATTGAATAACAAATTGATTAACTTGTTTTTTGACTAAACAATTATGTAATGTTAATGATTATTTACAAGTACATATATTCAACAAGGCGCCAAGTGTATTATTTATATAACAGATGTAGCAATTGGTCTTGACGGTGATATGGTGTCCAAATTAATTTAATTAATTTTTTAAGGGGGGGAGGAATTCATATGAAAAAGCTAATGTATATAAGTTTTTACATTGTTCATCAAAATGCATAAAAAGGTCGGGTATTTGTGCAGTTCGGTAATTTTTCAAAGAAGAGAATTAAATTTTCCCCCACACACACATTCTCTCTCTCTCTCTCTCTCTCTCTCTCTCTCTCTCTCTCTCTCTCTCTCTCTCCCGATGTATTATATATATAAAACATAACACATAAAGATTTTAAAACTCGCATTGATGTCTTGGACGGAAAATAAGTGTATGGAATTTGAATAAGCCGCTCTATCGTCGTTTTGTGTTTAGTTAATGATAAAAAATAAAAATCATTGTTTGGATAAACGGCTATATTTATAGCCGGTGAAGATAAAGAGCCAACGAATTTCTTCAAGAAGGGACCACAAAAAGAAAAGGAAGAAAACGAGGTCATATAACATTTGAGAAAGAGGCGAACGGATCATTGGTACAAATACGCCGATGGCATTTTCAATACATTTTATAACTGTTTATTAATAAAAATTCTTGAATATGCAAGACTTTTTGGACCGGCACTGGGTCATCTACACTCGCGTTAATTCGTTTTTTGTAATTAATTTTACTCTATTGTTCAGTTTCTTTAATAATGTGATATCCTCCTAATCATTTTTATGGGTTTAGGATACCATTATTTTTTTATTAAAACAAAACATTATTTTTAACATTTCGGGTTTTGTAACGCTTTCAACTCTCTTAGTTGTTGAAGAGTGGTTTAAAATAAACGAAACGTTAAAAATATAAATATTTTTTAGTAATAATGAATCATGGTATTGTCCTTAACGCATAAAATCCATTTTTTTAAATATATTACTTTACTGGATTGCCAATTTGAGAATTGTGCAGCCAATTATCCAGGAAAGTATATATTTAAAAAAAATGGTTTTTGTTGGTTAAGGACGGTACCATGAATTATAATTATTAAAAAAATTGCTTTTTAACGTTTCGTATATTTTAAACCAATCTCCAGCAACTAATAGGGTTAAAAGTGTTAAAAATACACGAAGCGTTACAATTTTTTTTAAATAATGATACATCATGGTACTGTCGTTAACTCATAAAATCCATTTTTTAAATATATACTTTACTAGATGGTCAGTTTGAGAATTGTGCAGCATAGGTCACACTGAGTTTTACTTTTGTGAAGAAGAAGAAGAGTGATTATTATTATTATTATTATTATTATTATTATTAACAAAATTGATTTTGAATGTTATTTTAAACCAATATTCAGCAATAAGAGGGTTCATAAGCGTGATTTTTTTATAATAATACTTCTTGCTACTGCCCTTACCCCATAAAAACAATTTTTTAAATATATACTTTCCTGGATAATCGTTTTGAGAGAAGAAAGTTTTTTATTGTTAAGGACAGTCCCATGAATTATTATTATTATAAAAGCGTTAAAAAAATTTTAAAAATTATAATACATCATGGTACTATTCTTATCCAATAAAATCTTTTTTTTTTTAAATATATATACTTTTCTGGATGGTCAGTTTGAGAATTGTGCAGGATAGGTCACACTTCTTCACAAAAATAAAACTTAATGTGTGACCTATGCTGCACAATTCTCAAACGGATCATCCAGGAAAGCATAAATTAAAAAAATTGTTTTTATTGGTTTAGGACAGTACCAATGATTATTAAAAAAAATGCTTTTTAACGTTTCGTATATTTTAAACCAATATTGAACAATTAACAGGGTTTAAAAGCGAGAAAAATACACGAAGCGTTAAAAGTTTTTTTATAACAATACGTCTTGCTACTGCCCTTAACCCATAAAAACCTTTTTTTTTTAGAATTGTGCAGGATAGGCCACACTTCTTCTTAACAAAAATAAAACTTAAAGTGCGACCTATCCTGCACAATTCTCAAACTGACCATCCAGAAAAGTATATATATTAAAAAAAAGGATTTTATTGGATAAGAATAATACCATGATGTATTATTATTTAAAAAAAAAATTTAAAGCTTTGTGTATTTTTAACGCTTTTATAATAATAATAATTCATGGTACTGTCCTTAACCAATAAAAAACTTTCGTTTGAAATATATGCTCTCCTAGATGAACAGTTTGAGAATTGTTCAAGATTGGTTTCACATTATGTTTTATGAACAGAAATTTAATTGTACGATCTGGAGTTAATTAGTGGAAAGGGGGTGGGAAAGGGTGACTCCCACCCCCTAAGAAACGGAAGAGAAGTGTTGATTATAATACCTGTGCGGCTTCCAGGTAGATCTGTTGCAGGTAAGGTATAAGCCTGGCTTGTAGGTAGGCCGGGTAAGGGCTGTAAGGAAGATGCGCGAAGGGCAGGCTCTCCCTTTCCTTAAGATCTTCGACTGTGCTTCTTCCCAACATGTCCATTTTATAACATATTTGAATCTTTGAAAGACGATGCGACTCGTAGAAGGTCGGGATGAGGACTGAGAATAGAGAACAGAGGCGCGTCGCCCTAAAGAGTGAGAGAGCGAGAAAGAGAGAAGTGAGGGAACGAGGGAGAGGGTGCGAGAAGGAGAGGGAAAGCGAACGAGAGAGCTAAACAAACAAACTGAAATGGATGTGTACTTTGGGAGTGGGGGAGGGACGCCAAGTTTATTTATTTAAATATGAGTTGTTTGGGCCCCACAGTCCTTATGCAAACACACCGACCGGAGAGAAACACATGTTTTGATTGCTTTCCGTGTTGATTGTTTGCCTGTTTGTTCTGACGTGGCCCACCGATAAGACGCGCCACCCCACTGACTAAACTAAAACCCGAAAACTTTTTCCACTCTCTCAACTCCGCTAAAGCCCATCCAATTTCTGCCTCGAAACACCCATAGATTCTTTATATAATATATATATAGAAAAATACAATTAACTATACGATAAACTGTTTTTAAACAAAATCGAACCGAGACAATCCCAGTTGTCATGTACTTCCTCCGCCGTTCCTCCTATTTATCAATTGCAGCCGTCTATTATTGTCGACGTGTTTGTCTTTGGTGAATGTTTATTGATCTCATGGCCGCTTGTTTATTTTGTCATTATCAGTCGCGCCTAACTCACAAACAATGTCGAGTCCTGTTTGGCATTCTACGGTTAAAAGAGCGTCCGGCTCGCTTAAACAATTCGTGCTCTCTCGTAATAAAACAAATCCTGCTTTTACTTCAATCCGAAAATATGGCATTAACAATTTTCTAACATTATAAAAATGCTTTCCTTTTCTAACGGCCTGTCGGTCACGATAAAACCCGGGGAACATTCTGTTTTTCGTGTATTAAACCTAAACAGATCAAAAAGGAAAAAACAACAATCAATTTCGCACGGGTGATTCTATACACAATTTTTATTTATAAAACGCTACGAATACACATTTTTTTCAATTGTGTATATAATTAAATGACAATCATCCTTAAAGAGGAAGTGAACCGTCTCACAAATAAGAAACCTTAAATTCTGTTTTTTAAGACTGCAGGTTGATGAACTTTGGTCGTTGTTTTGCATCTTGGTCTGCTTACCTTTCTTGATTAGTCAGTAAAGTCCGCGCGTTAGGTCTCTGGAAGTTCATGGTTCATGAAACAATACAAATGACAGAACAAACAGACAACTTCTAAATATGGTGAAAAGTCTAAAAATTCTTGTGAAATCTGTGTTGCTATGAACCCGTAGGTTGGTCGTTTTCGGTCATCCTGGTTTGCCACTAATGAGTTTGTCAAATTTGACACCCTACCACTGGAATAGTTGAATGTTATGATGGAATGACTCTGTAATTTGATCATTTCCTATCCTGGTCTGCATGAATTTGTTCTGTCAGTGAGGACTTCATAGTTTGTGGGCTTTGATGCATTATGAAAGGACAGAAATGACAAAAACCACACAGACCAATGCCTAGTCGAAATGCCTAAACACATCGGATTAAACCACTGAGGATAGGGAGAAAAATAAGATCCAGACTAACTACAAATCTAAGAATCTTCTTGCAAAAATTCTCTCAAGGTAAAGAAAGATCGCATATGAAATAGCAATAAGAAATATAAAATCCTAATTCTTCTTGTCGAGGTCCGTAGTGTAACATTTAGCTTGGTCGTTTCCGGTAATCATGTTTTGCTTTGGTCGGTGAGGTCTGATCTGGTGTTATGTGAAATAATGAAAGGACACACCTGATAGAATTAACATAGACCAAGCACCCAATGATGAAAACCAAGTGTCTTATTAAACCAGCGAAGATAATCAGGCCAGGATGACCCAAACTAAAAATCTATGAATGTCCTTTCAAGATTTTCCTTTCTTAAATTAAAGAAAAGCAGTAGAAACCTAAAATCCTAACCCTCGGTTTTTAAGTCTGCGGGATGATGAACTTGTATGGTCGTTGCCGGCCATCCTGGTCCGACTACTTTTTGGTTTCCGGGCGTTTATGGCTTATGAAAGGATACAAATGACAGAATTACACTCCAACCACTGAGTAAGACAAAACGGCGATGCTCGTCTGACTAAAGGTGTAAGGGTAGGCAGTCTAGGACGATCTACAAATCTAAGAATAACCCTGGAAGGTACTTTTACAAGACAAAGAAAGAAATATCAGAACACACATATGATTGCGTGTTAGATTGTGACTCGGTTAATGTTGAATCCTGGGTCATTTACGCGTTCTCCACTCTTGGGTTTTTATACTACCGTAAATTGTATCGACTTTTGCGCCATTTTAAGTGAAGATGAAACTCCCGAAAACCCTCTACTACCCGGTTCGACTGAAACGATCTCTTCTTTTTAGTCCGTCAGTATGAGATGGGTTTGTGGGCATTGATGAAAGGACATAGAAGAACAAGAAGAATTATACGAAGAAATACAAGAAACGATTTCTAATCGGACTGCATTGTGCAAATGTTACGACATATACTACACAACTGAGGATGTCTAATGTTGAAACCGAGACAACATAAAATTAATAGATGAACTAACCGGTATATCATAAGTACAGAAAAATTGATATTACCCATGAATTTTTACTTTCTGCTGGAAAGTATCTACCAGAGGTTGTCCAGAGTATGTTAAAGAAGCATGAAGCTTGACTGTGAGAAGAAATCGTGATAAGACGTGATAAAGCGTATATGTTTTTCCAGACTACTATAAATTTCAATTAATTAAGGTTTTTAGTTGAGATAAAAAAGTCAATGTGACGAGCGGGATTCGAACCCACGATCTTCGGCTAGATACGCCGCTGCTCTATCACTTAAGCTATCGTGACCTCTATCCACTTTATCTCAACTAAAAACCTTAATTAATTGAAAAATATTAATTGGTCAAGCGAAACACGAAAACTAGTGAATTTAATAAGCAAAAATGAAGAACCTTCACTAAAGCTCTCCGTGGCCATTTCATTTGTCACCGCAAAAATCATCAAATAGATCAAATAGAGAGACACGACATTTGAAAAATGGCAAAAAGAAAGAAAAATTCAAAAGTTGAGGTTCAGATTGGAAGTTAGTGTCCGAGTGGATAGAGGTCACGATAGCTCAAGTGATAGAGCAGCGGCGTATTTAGCGGAAGATCGTGGGTTCGAATCCCGCTCGTCACACTGACTTTCTATCTCAACTAAAAACCTTAATTAATTGAAAGATATTAATTGGTCAAGCCGACCCCGAAAACTAGTGAACTACTATAAATCTTCCGATCGGTTTTTAAGATCTGCACAAGTACAACTTATAGATTATCCACTCGTCAGAACCCATGGTGAAGTTGGGGTGTAAAACTCATCTTCAAACTGTATACAATTTAAAATTTGACAAAATTTGATAAAGACTGAACAACGTAGACTCAAGGAACATGTGTAAAAAGTGGATGAACTGCGGATATACACTTCTCGGCAGGAGGAAATTAACCATGGCAGAAATAAGGACGATGCAACCGAGAAAAACAAAACAAAAATAATACACAATTTCAAACAAATCTTAGTATTATAATTACAAAACAGATGATACAATACCTAATATACGGCGCAGTTTTACAACCCTCAGAATTTCTACATTTTATCATAATACATAATACAAATACTTGTTCAGTTAAAACAAAAGTGGGCCAGTAAGACGAGAAACGGCATGACAGGCGACGTATGAAATGCCCAAACTCCACCAACTTCCATTGTCACATCTTCTCCCTTCCAGAGAGTTTATTTATCTAGTTTGAATAATTTTACCCTTTATTTTTCAATAGTCTTTATTGTTAATAGTAGAATACTTAAGGTGAAAAACCGTGAGAACAGAACAGGCAAGAGAAATGAAGAAAAATAAGCACTGTGTAGACACAAAACGGATTACAAATCTTTAATTATCGCTCCATATTTCATATATTTATGAATTATAAAAAAACGAGGTTTATCTTAAGTTAAAAGATTTTAAATTTTTTTGTATAAAAGTTGCTAAGTTCCTAAAGGAAAGAAAAATTTGTAATCCGTGTTTATACTATACCGCAATTCTTTTAGACATTTCAGTAGTGTATAATCAATTCCATGTATTATTTTAATTTTGTTCTTCCCACAAAAAAAAAAACCTGGAATAATTATTATTATCGATCCCAAACACAACATGACAATCCATTAAGTATAATTAACAACGCGATAATCTAAAACTGATTGCATTGACACGATTTGTCGTGAAATATTAAATTATTTTTGGATAGGTTTTATGGTTCGATAATTACGTGGTTTACCCGGGTATAATAAAAGTAAGTTTCTTTTGGTATTTTTCCGATAATCATACCTGTACATTTCATCGAAATATTAATGAAATGATGCAGCCCATTGCAAAAACCTGACAACTAGACTTGATTTTAAGTCACAATGCAACACCTCATAAAAAAGTAATCTACCGAAAGTAATTAATCCGAAGAAGCAAGGATAAAGTAGAAATTTAAATTTTCAGTTTGTAACTAATTTTTGAGGCGGTTTGATACAAACTGGGTATAGTTCTTAGTGTTTCAGTTGTTTTGCACCCTCCAACTCGAAACTGTTGAATGATGGTTTGCAGCTTTTAAGAACCATAGCGAGTGGTTTGGAAACTTCTCGTTCACCTGTAAGAACCACGGTGTTTTTCTCCAGTTTACTTTCAACACTTTCCTTTCTGAATTTTTAAATATTTTCGGGTACCATTTGTTGACATCATTGACCTTGGCAGTCTCAGTTAAACTATGGCTATATACGGGATTAGAGAAAAGTTAGATTTCTAAGTAAACAATGTTAATCACTTATAATTCTCACATAAATGTCCTTAGTTATCATGGCATAAAGAAGAAGGCTGTTTTAGTTTCCTAAATTTTTCTGACATAACTTCACTATGGTTTGTGAACTTTGTCCACTTGTCCATCCCTAGCGAAATTCACTGATAAAACAATATTGTCTAAACTGCACCAATAGTTTACACACTCCAACCTGATTGTGAGTAAATGACACTCTCAACACGACACGCAAGAATGGCACAATTACACAGAAGACAAACACTTTGAGCCCTGAAGATGATCTCAATAAAGATCGAAACGTTGGCACGATAAAGAAAATGTTTTTCTGAAACCTACATCACACCAGACGGCATCTCACGATTTCTGAATAAGTA